TCCCCAGTGAGTACAAAGTTAGCTCTGGGATGTCACATATGGCCTTTATTATGTTGAGGTATAGTCTCTCTATTCCCACTTTGCTGAAAGTTTTATCATAAATGGATGCTGGATTTTATTGAATGTTTTTTCTGCATCTATGGATATAATCATATGATTTTTATCTTTCAGTTTGTTAATGTGGTATATCACATTAATTGATTCGTGGATGTTGAACCAGCTTTTACATACCAGGAATAAATCCCACCTAATCATGCTGTATGATCTTTTTAATATATTGCTTAAATAGGTTTGTTAATTTTATTGAGTATTTTTGCATTTTTGTTCATCAGGGATATTGGTGTAATTTTTTTTTTTTTTTTTTTTTTTTTTTTTTTTTTTTTTTGGTTTGGGTGTTTTTGTTTTTTGGTTTTTTTTTTGAATAAATGAAAGCAAAGATGATTGCCCTGAAAACACACTAATCACAGTGCGTCTAATTCTATTATTTTTAAATGTTTTGTTGAGCACTATTGGCAGCTGCTACTCAAGTCAACAATAAAACATAATCTTTTGATACTGTCTTAAAATCTGATTTTTCAAAAGTTTTGATTGTGTGTGCAGTGGAATAGAAAAAAGAGGATTTTTGTGTATGTTGATTCTCATATCTTTCTGCAAGGAAAGATTATTTCTGCAGTGGGCATTACTCTCTTACCTTTCTTCCAGTGACATAATATAAGAAATTTACCAGTGATACCAGAAAAGACACTTTTCAGTAAATGGTCAATGTCCTTGTGGGGGCGGGGCAGGGGGGACATGAGGGGATGGAGAGAGGAAAAGCTTAACAAGGATTCAAATCCACTACAGAAAATGTAGGTTTGTTTAAGAGCTGGACCTTGAATTCAGCTCTATCTGGCTCTGCAGTCCAAGAACTTATAATACACTTTATTAGAACTTACATTTTTAGTTTTAGAAAACAAAAAGTTCTTAGTTACCTTAGGCAAAACCACCTTAGTTAGTCAAAACCACCTGATAACCACAGAGCCTCTTGTTAAACTTTGACTGGAGAAGGTAGTGCAAAGTAACTATAAACATTAACCAGTTTGGAGGAGAGAGTTCTTTTGAGGCCTATTAACATGAGAATGAGGAGAGGAGACAGGGCAGTAGGTCATGAAAGCCCTTGAGGGCCAGGCAGGGGACTGTGTTGAACATGGCAGACCTTAAGGGGCCATCCTGGTCACCCCCAAGCAAAGGAATTTTGTAAGGAAAAGTGATCTGGTGACATCAGTGCCCCCCTCTTGTGATCAGAGGTAAAAGAGAGACCACAATGCTGTTTCCTGAAGAATACCAATCAACTGCTTTCTGTTCCCCTCTTCAGTGAAGCGCTAAACACCTCATTCACTCTGTATAGTAAGAGACTGAAGGCCAGAGCCTGGTGGACTAGGTTACTACAGTTAGCTATGAGGCGAGAGAAGGGGATCATTAATGGACATAGAAATATCGTAAAAGAATGACAGTGAGAGTGAGATAGTGATCATCAGTTTTCAATAGGTAGAGTTGCCCAAGAAGGTAAAGGCCCAATAAAATGATTTGTAGTGATTGGGAGTATAATGCCAGTGATGGATAAAAATGAATACCAGAGGTATAGCTCTTGTAGCTCTCCACAGAGAGATGGCAATTGTGCATATGAGAGCAGATGGGGAACCTTGTAGAGTTCAGTAGGCAGAGAGAGAAGTGTTAGAGGCTGAGGTATGAAGTAAGGGTCACCCATGCTTTACAAAACATAAGAGGCTCAATAAGAGAAGCATATAAATAAATCAGACTAGACGAGGAAAAATAGCGAAACTTATAAATGCATATTATTTCTTTTATCTAGGGTAGAATCAGGTGCAGGTGCAAAGTCATTTTTCAGTGATCTAGGGAAAATATCTTCCTGTAAAGGTTTCTGGGAGGTCCTACCGATCAGAAGTACCCTCTGCTGCCATGTCCACTACCAGAAGGGCAAGAGAAGAGATCTTAAGTAAAATTCACTGTATAGGAAGAAAGTGGGAAAGAAGCACCGTTAAATGGACCTGTGCTGTCTTGCTGGTGGTATAAGTAAGATGTGCCCCAGCCAAGAGCTTCCTTAGCGACCGTTAGGTTAGTTCTTCTCTCAGTGTTTTCCCTAGAATAGGACAGTCACCATGTGGAATGCACTAATGGCACCTTTCAGTGTCGTCAAACTTACATCAGTTTCTAAGAGAACTTTTTCAAATCCACTGGAGTTTCATTAGAGAATTGTCTTGGTCGAGAAAAGAAAAACCTGTCAAGATATTTCAAAGGAGAAATATAATCAAGGGAGTTACGTGCTTACAGAATCTTTAGAAAGCCTTTAGAAGCAGAGTCAGAGAGAACCACTGATGACATCAGGAAACCAGCAAATTCGGGAATTTCAGGAAACAGCGCTGTGGCAGGTGGTTCTCAGGGGATGCCCGGAAGCCCCTGCAAACCTCGCATGTGCTAATGGCTGAAGCCTTTGGGCCTGCTGGCTATGTGCAGGGGCAGTGATGGCTTTGGCTCCTCCTCTGCTGTTCCAGCCTAGCACCAAGTGCCTCTCACTGGCAGAATGGAAATGTGAACTCCCTCCAGGGCAGACAGTCTGTGAAACGTAGTGTTCAGGCCTGCAGCCCCAGCCTTGTAGGGGAGAACCGAGAATGGCAAAGACAGTGTTGCATCCTAACAGCTCACATCTTGCACAAGAATAAAGTCAAGAAACACTACACAGTGTCACACACACAGACTTTGAGTCCTTGTTTCTGCTTCTTGAGCCAAAGGTCCACTGCCTTTCCCTTGATTCACGATTAAGAACAAACAAAAACACAAATCCCTTATATACATTAATGGGGTATGTGGTAGAGGTTAACGCCTGAGTTTGTTCTTTCATACTCCCTAAAGCTGACTCTGCTCTTTTAAAGTATACAACAACCTAAAGTCCATCCCTCCTTGCTGCCCCCCCTCCCCGGCCCCTGCCAAGAAGGATCCAAAATCAAGATGTGTGAGACTTCCTATGGAGAAAATTAGGAAACATACAAGTATGTACAGTGGAGCTCAGGAGTAACTAGGTAATTCATAGTTCCTTCAGGTGAGTAGACTGAATTTTAATCATGGCCTTTGGTCTTATAACACTTGCTGGCTTCACCACCAATCACACTTCGCAGTACCAAACTTCCAGCTTGATACACCTTTCGTTAATATTAAAACAGTATTTATGGCAACAGAGAAAAATGCAATTTAATGGGAGGAGAAAAAGAGAAAAGTGATTACTAGAGGTTGGACATACATGGTCATTGCCAAGGACCCAGCCCAATTTCATAAGGAATGAAAGACTTTTAGGTAGATGAAAGAATATCAATTTCTGATTGCCACCTGACCTCAGAGGTCAGAATGGCTGACCTCTACTTCAAATTACTGTAAAGCCGCACACCTGAGCACAGTCCCCTCTGCAGCAAGCGCTAACTGGTATTGGGGAAAAGAGTGATCTATATAGTTTTTATAATTCCCCCCTCATTTAGTAAAAATTGCTTTTGCTACTCAATTGTCTGTAAGTCTCTTGAGAGTGGGGAACTGAGCCTAATTTCTATTTCTTATTATTTATCTAATGCAATATCTTGTCATTAGCAGACACCGTATACGGAATTGTGGAATGGATGAATTACATAAGGAGTTAGCAAACAAGACTGCTCTGGGCTGACCCATTGTGTTGTCTCTCTCTGGGATGAGTGTATATGATTTTACAGCAGGCATAATTTTTAGGCTGAATACAGCAGCAGTATTGTGTTCTATTCACACAACTCAACATGATTTTGTGGGGACAAGTTCTGATCAGTTCTTTAGCATAATTGTCATTTAAGGCTTAGGTAGAAGAATGGACTATTGGAGTGCTCTAAGAATTTTATTGGAAAAACATGATTCTTGTTTGATGGCATTCTTCTTAATTGTGTGTGTGTGTGTGTGTGTGTGTGTGTGTGTGTGTGTGTATACAAGTGAAATCTGAGCTCTTGCAGTGTGGTTTTGGAATTCAGATGATATCAACTGGAATTGACATTAATTATTTTTGTGCTGCTTGGCATATGCTGGAACATTATTTCTACAACAATTCCACCACATTGCTTACACAGTTATCTCTGCTGCGATCTTTGTCATCATCACCATAATTATTGCTTATTAAGTCTCTCCTGGTCTCCACTCATCTCAGTGGGGCTCTGCACACCATGGCCCTCTTCTCTCCCCCATCTCCCTGCAGGAAGTCCCGTTCTCCCGCGTGTGGTGCAGTAACCGGCAGCCCCTGCACTGTGCCTTCTCCCTGGAGCGCTACACGCCCACCACCACCCAGCTGTCCTGCAAAATCTGCATCCGGCAGCTCAAAGGCCATGAACAGATCCTCCAAGTGCAGACATCAATTCTAGAGGTGAGTCCTCGTCTACAGGTCACTTGACCCCATTTCTAAATGATGATAAGAGTAATATACCTATCACAGTCATACTGCACAACGCACAAAAGAGCTTCAAAATGCACTCACTCTTTTAATTCTCATTAGTGCTTGGACAAATCATTTTATTTGGCTTTTACTTTTTCTGCAACTCTACCTTTTGAAAACTGATTATCACTATCTCACTCTCATTGGCATTCTTCAACTCTTAATCCTCATTACTGATGAGGGGAAATAAACTTTTTCTCAGACTGCAGATTAAAGTTAGCTTCCCACTGGGCAGGGGAACTCAACCCATCAGAACTTAAGCTCAGTGAAGGGACCTTTGGGGAAGGAACTGGTGGAGGGCTTTTTATACACAAAAATCACAATAGTCCACGGTAGGCCTGGAATATTAGCTAAAATTATTAGCTGGTAGTACAATAAACACACATGCCATAAAGAGGCACAAGGTTAGCACTGGGCAGTTTTTTTGCTGGTTCTGACTAGTTTCCATTAGTCAGTAGCCCCACCTGTGTCATCATCTTCAGGGTCCTGGCTCCTTGTTGTCTTACAATTCCTCAGACCTTCCACATCCCCATTTCCATTAAACATAGGGTCATCGATAACAATAATATAAGATAGAATAGATATTAATCTCTTTCTACAAAGTAAGGAAATAGAAGTATAACGAAGGAAAGGACCTCATCCAAGGTCATATCACTGTTGAAGGGCAGCAATGGAATGGGAGTCACAGGAGAATTCCTCTGAGAACTTGTAAAAAGATACCTGATTTCTGCCGTGATTCTAATTGACTTCATGGCTCTGGACTTGAATTTACAAAGAGAAGACAATGGCATTCCCTCCTGAATGGTTGAGGGTAGAAGATAGAGAGTTCCTAGGGGTAGAATCAGGGGAGGCTGCTTCTGTTTAGCAATCCTAAAGTAATTTCTGGCTGGTTTAGAAAAGCAAGAGTATTTCATTGTTCACCAGAATATGTGTGTGTGTGTGCGTGTGTGTATGTGTATACACATATAGACACACATGTACATACATACATATTTATGTAATATATAAATAAAATGTATTTTGGCTTGACAGATTTAACACATTTTACATATATATATCTCAATTTCAGTGTTCTTTTTTCTTTGAAAACGTGTACCCTTATAGCATTATCACTTCCCCCTATTCCTATGTTAATGTATGGTTTATGCAAAAT